CACAATATTCTTACATTTTAAAACTTTGTTTTTTGATGTTTTGTTTATCTAAGAATATTGTGTTTTTTCCTAATTCCTTTGATACTGATAAATAAAGTTCTCCCAGGTTTAGTAAAGAAGTGAGCAAAAAGTGAATTATTAGAATCTTCAAATACCTTTCAAGGCTGAGTGGGGAAAAAAGGCAGGAAAATTGACAGCCTGAGGAATCACAGTCTTTCACATGCAGTAGCAGAAATACTAACAGCAGCAATAGCTAAGGAATCCTAAGCTCTCTTTCATTTATTGCAGTGATAAGTGAATATCTATATCTATATCTATATCTATATATCTTCACAATACCTCCTTTGAGGTAAAATTGTTATTTCTATTTTACCAGGTGGGAAAGTTGAGATTTAGAGAGATTATGCCATTTCCAAAGGTTCTGCAATTGGTTACAGTGCCCTATATAACCAAGGGTAGACTTGAGAACCAAAGACAAGGCCCTTGACCTGTAGGTCTGTTCCTTTCATAGCACAGTCCCTTTGGGCTCAGACTGCCAGTGCCTACAGGCAGCATGGCAGTGGGGATGTGGCCATACAACAACCACCCACCACCACCACTACTCCAACCAAGGCCTTGTGCATTGTGCAGATTTTCTAATTTTATTCTCAAATCTATTCAAAAGAGCATCATTACCCAGATTTCTATCTAAGAAAATCATGCTTTGAAATTTTAAATAAATTGCTCAGTGAGTCAGAATTCAAATAAATGCCCATGAGTTCCAGGCCTGCGTTCTTACCTTATGAACTAAATTGCAGCTTTGGGCAAAAAACACTGAACACTGTTATCTACCATCAGTAGATGAGCTTCCAGAGTGTTCATGGTGCTCAGCAAATATTTCCCTTCACTGCTGCACACACACAGAGTGTGCAGAGAAGCTCATCTGCACTTTGATATTCGGAAGGTCTGCTGTAGTTTTCTATTGGTTCTGTTAAAATCACACTCTATCTCCATTTCTCTTTCTCAAACCTTAATCTGACAGTTTAGAATTAATTGTTTTCATACACTGATAGCTTTTGTTTTTCCTTGTTATCTCCATTTTCCCGTTTCAACTCAATCAGATGAACTAACATTCTTCAGTTTCACCTATTTGCTCTCTTTGTTTATATTGGAGATTAAAGGACATCTCCTCAAATTATCTTTTCATTGTTTAGAAAAGGCACTTCATTTGGGATTTTTAAGCATCTCATAAAACTTGAGGCAATGTTTTCCATGAAGAATTTCTAAAATTATTTTGATAGAGAGTGGCTACATTGAGTAAAGCAATAGAGATTTTGAACAAAGGAAATAGAATATTTATTCACAATGACTACTTTTTATGCAAATATATTTTAAACTCTAGAATTCATAGAACACTTGCTATAAAAGTTACGGTTCACACCTCTTAGTGAGTAGCAGATGTTGACAATGAATTTTAATCTATTTTATATTTATTACAGATATATTTTAATCACACTGGAAAAGTGAAAGTAATACATAGTGAGGTCGTAAGCAAGTGGTTTAAAAGAAGGGTCTTGTTTCTAAGTTATGAAGAAAAATAGGAGATTGCAGCAGTTTTTCATTGTGACAATAGTGCCACCTAGTGTGTCATCTGGGAATAAAAGTAAACAACCAAATTCAAATTTTTGCTCTAAATTCTATACCTGTAATCATACATAAGTTAAAAGTAAAACTAATTAAATTGTATAATCTGTCTTAAGATAAAAAATAATTAATTATAATTATTTAAGCATTTCAGTTTAAAAAAATAGCACTTTCTCATTTATCCTAACGAAGGATAGCACTCCCAAATAGAAGCACAAAACTCATCTCTATTGCAATTATATGTTAAAAATAATAGTTATATCAAGTTATTCTATTGCTGAAAAACTAAACATGGTTAATTGGAATTTATGGAAATAAATTTCTGTAAGTTAGTAAGATATTTGAATTGCAAATTTTACTTTTATTTTTAGAATATATTATTACAGATAGTTAGGAAGATACATTGTCACAGGAGAGTGCTTAATAATCACAGAATTCCAGAAGAGTGACAGGTCATTACTCACAGCCAGTCTTCTATATGCAAGTCCAGGCACTTCAGGTTATTAAGAATTGTTTATTTTCTTATGAGGGCCAAATTCATACAAACTCCTACTATTAAATATGTTAAGGTAGTACAAATGTGATCTTCAATCTAGTCTTTGTCCAAGTTGTGAGAAGAGTAGATTAATAGAATCAAAATAGATACTGTCATCTGTATTTAAATAAGGCATTGAATATATCTTATATCTTTTGACATTTATAAAATATTTAAGCATACTATTTTACAAAACATTTTAACTAGCATCAAATGTGTACCTATAATGTAAGCATGTAAAGCTTGTGAGTACAGTTAGAATTTGCTCAAAATTAGCTGCTTCACTATGAAACGGAAGCTCAAATTTAAATGATTTAGGAGTTTGATTCCTGCACACTTCAAATAATTCTCTAAAATAACTCAATATACATCTCCCCATTATGTGTAGAACCAGTTCCACAAACAAGAGCATGAAGTTTTTTGTCTGCTCTTCTTTCACAGTCCCCTGGTTCATTGGGTATGAATTGTCCTGAGACTAGAAGAACAGAGGGCTAATCCCAAAACCTAAGTTCCTCTTCCTTCTCCCTGCACTTATTAGATACTCAACAAATGTTTGCAAGCATTCAACAGTTGCATTATATATCACTCATCTGAGATTTCATCCTCCACATTTTCTAGATAATTAATGGGGTATTATTTTACCTCGATCTCTGACACTTCACAACCTTAGCCTCTTCAGACATAATTTATTGTTAGACTTTTGCTTAGTTTATAGTCAGAGAAACAGAGATCACAGTGCATACTCATGAAGGATTTTTGTGGTAGATGTTTTTAATTATCTAACTCAGTATATTACCAATCACAGCGCCTGGTTTTGGGGTTTTTTTTTTTTTTTTTTTTTTTTTTTTTTTTTTTTACATCATTACACAAATATGCCAAGTGTCAGGGATGCTTCTTGGAAATTTTTAGTTTCTTTCATTCTTAATTTTTTTTACTTATTTAAATGCAGAGTGACAGAGAAGGAGAGAGGGAGAGAATGGGAGAGAGAACTTCCATCCATTGTTTCAATCTCTAAATGGCCACAGTGGCCAAGGCTAAAGCCCAGAGCTAGAAACTCCATGTGGGTCTTCCACGTGGGTGAGAGAGGTCCCAGTATCTGGGCCATCAACCTCTGCTTTCCTAGGTATATTGCCAGGGAACTGGATGGAAAGTACAGGAGCTGAAACTCTAACCAGAACTCTGCTATGGGAAAATGGCATGGCAAGCAGTGGCTTAACCAGCTGTGCCACAATGCTGGCCCTCTTTTGTTTCCTTTATAAATACTGAAAGACTCAGTGGTTTTACCTCTCCCCTTTATCCTCCTAAGCATGAATTTGATGCCCTTAGCTTTAGCCATCATCTTGTACCTGCTTCAGAAAGACCAAGCTACTTTTACAAATTCCTGGTATTATGGTGATAATGAAGTAAATACAACAGCACCTATTCCACACTTCATACTATGTAAAATAAGAAAAAATAGAACAAAACAAAACCGCTGGAGTAATCACTCATGGGACTCGGTAATACTTGCAGTGGAAAATCATCCCAAGTAGGCTAAAAGCAAATGATACTAATTAAATCTCTAGGCACAGTGCATTGCAAACTGATAAGAATGAAATCAATGACTGGTTAGTGTTATAAAGAATTTGTATAGTGAATGGCATAGGATCACCAGGAATTAGCCAGTTAATCAACAAACATCCTAGTGTATATTTCGTAATGAACCGTGGCTTTACTTATAGATCACAATTGATATTGAATATAGCCTTTGGAACTCAGTCATAAGAAAACATAAGTGGGTGAAATGACAAAACATATGTTACTTGTCAAATATGTAATCAGGTAATACTAGCTTAAAGACATGCCTGAGACTTTAGCAGCTGCGCAGAAACTGGACAGAGTCAATGAACTCCAGGTAGAGAACGTATGAAAGGAAAAGTGCTAGTTCTGTTTGTTCAGTGAGGAAGTTGGCTCTTATGAAAGCATCAGGAACTTCTTCTAAGCCATTTGCTCGCTTGGTTGTATAGGCAGAAATGATTTTGTTCCTGTTATCTGGGTCTGTGATAAACAGTAGAAAGAAAATAAAAAGAGCAAATAGAGAAAAAGAAAAGAAGACATTGGTAAGTTGTGCAAAGATAATCTAAACTCCTGGGCAAACAATGATAAATTATTCTAGACTGAAGATTTCAGAAAGTAATCATCAATGCTAGTTTGAAAACACATATTAAATTATAGACTGAATCCAAAAGCTATACTTGAAAGCCTAAGGCCAAATACTAGTCACTAGGCCATGAGTTACCAGGAACATGAAGTAGGAGAAAGAAATGGGATGATGGGAGAAGGGTACAATGGTGTGCAGGTGTATCTGTGAATGCTTTATTTGTTTTTAGCTTAAAAGGAGAACATGCACATCTGGACTCTTAAAAATTTTGTGAATGTTGACTGAATTGCTAAGTGTTTGAATCTGTATATGCATTCATTAATTTGTTCTTCCAGAAAATATTCATCCAGTTCTCCCTCTAAGCCAGTCACAGTACAGGCAATGGGGACACTGGAAACTTAAGATCCTCCTCACCCTTATACCTCATGCATTAAATCACACATATCCTTACAACTACAGGATTATAAATAAAATTTAAGAGACACCAATGTTTTCAATGCTTCACTGCAAGACAAAAATCACACCATTAGCTGAAGAAATTCCAATTGTTGAAAGAAGTCAAAGAGAAACACTTATAGTTCATCCTCATTGGCTTGTTATGTCATCCTTTCAAAAAGGAAGTAAAAAAGAAACATCTTCTTTCAACTTTTAAGAACTGTCTTTTTAAAAACTTGAATAATTTATTTATTTGAAAGACAAAGAGTGCTTGCTTCAGCTACACATACCCTAAAATAGGAATGCTATGAAGAAGAAAATTAGCATGGTCCCTGTGCAAGTATGACTTGCAAATTCATGAAGAATACATATTTTTGCATTCTAAATAAATTCGGAGAAAAATAAAGAGTCTTTTTGTGTAAGAAAATGTTTACTATTTTGGGCATCTTCAGTCACCAAATAATATCCAGGTTTCATTTGGCATAGTTTGTCTTCAGCTTGAAGAAAGTTCTACTTGTAGTGATACTCTAGTGGTAATGAATATTCCTGTTTTTTTTTTTTTTAATCTGGAAAAGAAAAAAATAAATAAATACAGAGAAACAGAGACAGATAGAGATCTCCCATATTCTGGTTCACTCCCCAAATGCCCTTATAGCCAGGACTGTGTTTCCTTAATTTCTATATGTCCATAACTCCAAAAGTGTCTAAATCTTAGTCTCCCCACTCTGAGCATATTCTGTCATAAATGTTTGCCATTGCCTCTTCTGGATGGATTCTGGAGTTGTAATAGAGCAAGGGCCATAGAGATAACAGGAAACTCAAAATTCACCTTACCATTCATTTCAGCCTGAAAAGTGTTTTCGTGAATTTCAGTATGAATCTGATACTTATTTTTGTAAACATGTGTTATTCATTTTTTCTTAAGTATTTATTTATTTAAGATGAGTGGCGGGAGGGAAGGGAGAAAGAGAGGGAGGGAGGGAGAGAGAAAGGGAGAGAGAGAGAGAGAGAAAGAGAGAGAGAGAGAGAGAAACTCCCATCTGCTGCTTCACTTCCCAAATGCAAATGCCTGCGACAGCCTAGACTGAATGAGTCCAAGCCAGGGGAAGCAGTCATCTGTTGCATCCCATGGTGTGCATTAGCAGGAAGCTAGAATCAGGAGTGGAGGGGGGACTTGACTCATACTCTCTGAAATAGGATTTGAGCATCCCAAGTGTCATCTTAACCATTATGCCAAACACCTTCCCTGTAAGGTTATTTGTGGCCTGCAGTCCTCTGTGGAAACAAAGCAAAAAACCATAGAATAGGAAGATAATTTGGCAAATGTACAGAAAGAGGAGTTTCTTTCCTCCACATCTCCACACAAGGGCCATTTTTCTGTTCAAAGTAAGATAAGGAAATAGACTGACTGATTTTTAGCTCATTGAGACCCTGCTTTTTCAGTTACTTTTAACCATTATGCCTCGGGGGGCGGGGAGGTTACTGGTCATAAACAAGAGTGTCAATTGTTAAATCAACAACAGGAGTCACTGTGCACTTACCCCCCATGTAGGATCTCTGTTAACATGTTATACTATGTGAATTAACGGTATAACTAGTACTCAAACAGTACTTTATACTTTGTGTATCTGTTTGGTTGCAAACTGTTGAAATCTTTACTTAGTATATACTAAATTGATCTTCTGTGTATAAAGATAATTGAAAATGAATCTTGATGAAGAATGAGATGGGAGAGGTAGTGGGAGATGGGATGGTTGAGGGTGGGAGTGGGGGTTATGGGGGGAAAAGGCTGCTATAATCCAAAAGTTGTACTTTGGAAATTTATATTTATTAAAAAAGTTAAAAAAAAACAAAATTAGCATTTTGGTCACTTCTAGAGTACAGTAGTGGATACTGTTGCTTCCTCATATTTTTTTTCTTTATCTCTTCAATCTAATTTCCTTTCTCCACAACCCTTCTCCCTCTGTTTCTCTTTTTCTCTCACTTATATTTTATGTACCTGATTTCCTATTCTGTACCCTCAGGTCCCCCACATAGAAAACAGTCATTCTTACCCTGACACACACACACACACACACACACACCCCTTTAGGATACAGTAAATAATAACAAGTCTATTTTTAAAAAGATCTGAGGGAAAATATAATTTAAAATAAGAGTAATATTAAGATTGGGTACAAATGATGATAAATTAAATATGAAATGACATGAAACTGAACAAGGACAAGTGGAAAATCAGGCAGCCAAAGGATATTTGGAGCTTGCATAGTGAAATTTCTTTAAAAATATTCAGGTGGGTAGAGCTATAATTAATGAAATATTTATGCACATGAAACTTTTTTGGGGGTAGGTGTTTGGTAGAGTGGGTAAGACATTGTTTGAGGTGCCCACACCCCTACTGAAGTGGCCACGTTTAAATCCTGACTCCAATTCCAGCTTCTTGCTTGTGTGTATCACGGGAGGCAGCAGATGACGGCTGAAGCACTTGTATCCCTGCCACTCACCTAGGAAACCCAGATTGAGTTGCCAGCTCCTGACAAAAAGTAATGTCCTAATGGAGATTAATTGCTGTTGGAGTAAGAGACGTGACAAACATTGATAACTAAAATTGGTGATATTGCATTATACATGTTCTGGAGAAAACTAAAGTGTGGAAGCAGGTGGAGTATGTGTGGGGAGTTTCAACTTCAAATAAAGTAGTCAGGGAAGGCCTGACTATCCAGATGTGTTTGACTAAAGCCATGGAGAAGTGAGGGCTTGAGCCACTGGATCTATAGGGATATGGTGATACATAAAGAGACACAATTTGACACCGTAATAATGTATTAAAAGTAGTTTATTTTTTATTAAATGAGATGAGAAGTTATTGGAGGATTGGGGTCAGAAAATAAACCTGATATTCTGGCTGCTGTTTTGAGGGTAGACAGAAACATGTCAAGGAAAAACAGGAAGCTCTTTTGATATTACTGGGGAGAGGAGATGGTATCATGGAATGGAGACACAGGATGGAGGTGAGGTAAGTGGTAGTATCCTAAGTGCCCTGTACGTGAAGAGCCACTAGATGCACTGATGGGCTGCATGACATGAGGCACGAGAGAAGTGAAAGAATTCTGGCGCTGACTGGGAGCATACTAAATTTGAAATGTATGTTGTCAATCAAAGGGATATTGAATAGGCAGCTGCACGGAGTAGTCAGAGCACAGGAAGAGTTTGGAGGAATTTTTATAACAAACTAGATATCACTAATATAGTGAGTGAGAATAAAAAAAATGGCAAAATACTGAGTCTTGCCATATTGAACAGTTAAGAGGTGAAAGAAATGAGGAAGAACTAATAAAAATATAAATGTTTCCCAGAAGTAATAAAACCTGCTCCATACATCCAGACAGGGAGCAGGAGGACCACTGTGCTGTTCATTTGACAAATATATGATTATATAACAATAAGCAAATATTTGTCTGATAGTACTTTTCCAGCCTGACAATAATCATTGCCCAAATCAATGAAAAAGTTTTTTTAAGCAAATGGGGGTATATAGAATATATGTCATAATATGCTCAAAGCACTAGTTTTAAATTGTGGTCATCTCAAATCCTTAAAAACTTCATATTGACAGAATACTGATTTTATCATGAGAATTAACTTTGATGCATACTGAAAATATTCCTTGAAACATTTGGATTATATTGAGAAATGCAAATCCATCAGAGTTTGATTTTTGTTCAGAAATATCTTAGGCATATGGAAAATTAAGATACCATATTTTATAATGATTTTGCAAGCACATGTCTATCTGTTACAGCTTGCCCCCATACCATATAAACACTTAGAAGAAATGACATTCCTTCTTGGATTTTCTTGCTTAAGAACAAGTAAAATATTGTTTTGTGCTTTGGCTGTCATTAGATGGTTGACAGATTTTGGAATGGAATGTAACAAGATGTCCATAGTTATCCAAGGCAAGTTCTTCCTCTTATACAAAATATAAATCAGTATTTCTGTGGATGCTTATCAAACTGTGTACTTGGTAAAACAACCTTGTGTGTGAATGGCATGAGCCACATATTTCTATAATTGGACCAGATTTGCAGCATGCATTTAAGAATGTTGGGTCATTTTCTAAACATGGCACCATTTTTTTAGGGAATTTCTGCTAAGCTCTGGAAAGCTTGCCCTGATGCCAGGAGGTAACCTACTAAAGTATTAAGAGCAACTTATTACTTTCTCCATCAGATGTCTCATTAGTAGGAGCTGAAAAATGACAAAATGTGATTCCATTTGGAGAAAAAGCAAACTTGCACTTTTGGAATGTAGGCAGTCAGGAAAAAGAAAAAATGCAGAAAATGATGGTGTCAAAGAACTTTGAAGCAGGGAGTAGGACAGTTTATAGAATGATACTGCAATCAGTTACATGTGTAATATTGAGTCGGAAAGGGCCCAGATTATTTAGAGATGCAGATATAGAGCCATTACACTGTGGATCAGGAATACATTTTCATAACCTCATTTATCCATAGATATTTCTTTTTTTTTTTTTTTTTGAACAGGCAGAGTTAGACAGTGAAAGAGAGAGAGAGAGAGAGACAGAGAGAAAGGTCTTCACCCCAAATGGTCGCTACTGCCGGGGCGCTGCACCACTCCGAAGCCAGGAGCGAGGTCCAGGAGCAAGGTGCTTCCTCCTGGTCTCCCATGCAGGTGCAGGGCCCAAGCACTTGGGCCATCTTCCACTGCCTTCCCGGGCCAGAGCAGAGAGCTGGACTGGAAGAGGAGCAACCAGGACAGAATCCGGCGCCCCAGCCAGGACTAGAACCCTGGGGTGCTGGTGCCGCAGGCAAAGTAATAGCCAAGTGAGCTGCGGTGGCGGCCTAGATATTTCATTTTGAAAACAGTGTAGACAAATTTGGAAGTGGTCAAAAGATAAGCTATGCCACAATTAAGAGATGGATGAGCAGGAGTTCTAAAGAGTCAATAAATTAAATTTGAATTTAAAATCTAATTAAGCAGCTGTACACATGAATATAATTACTTCAAGAGAATAAAAGAACAAAGATCTTTATTGAAAGTGACAAGTACAACAATATTAGAAAGTCTATTTTTATTGACAGGCAGAGTGGACAGTGAGAGAGAGAGACAGAGAGAAAGGTCTTCCTTTTCTGTTGGTTCACCCCCCAATGGCCACCGCAGCCTGCGTGCTGCAGCTGGCACACCGCGCCGATCCAAAGCCAGGAGCCAGGCGCCTCTTCAGGTCTCCCATGCGGGTGTAGGGCCCAAGCACTTGGGCCATCGCCCACTGCACTCCCGGGCCACAGTAGAGAGCCGGACTGGAAGAAGAGCAACCGGGACAGAATCCAGCACCCCGACTGGGACCAGAACCTGG